TAATTGTTTAGAGTTTATGTCCACTCTTTCGAATTAGATAAGATGGAATTACAAAGCTGAGAGTCACAGATGTACAATAGTAGTTTAGCTATAATAGTCATAATTGCGCACAACAAATGTGATTCTTGGTCAAAATAGCAATATTTACCTGCAAAGGTCATATCTGGATGTTACAAACGCGGTAGTTAGTCATAGAAGTTGTATCAATTGACTATAATAGTAGTAGTTGGCCACAAAAGGTTGTAATTGGAGATTGTAATAATAGTAGTGGGCCACAAACTTAGTAATTGATGGTTGCATGCAATAAAGGCCCTCGTTAGAAGCTGCAATAGCGTTTGTTGGTCATAGAGGTCGTAGTTGGAAGCTATAACAGTGGAGGTTAACCACATAGGTCATGGTTGGTGACTGCAATATCTTCAGTTGACTACAAAGGAAGTAGTTGAAAGTTGTAACAATAGTAACTGGCCACATATGTTGTAGTTGGTGACTACAATATCGTCAGTTGATCACATGGCCGTATTTGAAAGTTGTAATAATATTAGTTAGCCACAAAGACCAAAGTTGGTGGCTACAATAGTGCAAGCTGGCTATAGATGTCGTACAACACTAGTTTGTCACACAAGTCTTAGTTGGTGATTATATAGGTAGTGATTGGACCACTTCTCTCCGGGAGAACGAGATTATAAATTTATATAAAATATTGAGCTTCTCTTTGTACAATGTAAGGAAAAATATAGGTGTTAAGAACAATTACCAAATTCTGATTTTGTCAATCATAAGCAGTGGTTCCCGGAGGCTTGAAGTCAGCGGCGACATGCAGTGACAATCGGTGGTGGTCGATGATAGCCAACAGACAATGACAAATAGTGGTTGATAGCTACATCAGTCGAAAATTATTATTGGATCTTCAATATAGGTGTTATATGTTACAGTCGTATTTGGGATACGACATTTAGAATAGGAATCATCAGCTGCAAAAGGTCAAAGATGGAAAGCAGTGAGGGTTTGTGTTAAATGTCGGGCAATGATCATTGGTGGTCAGTGGCTACAATAGTGGAAAGTTATTGCAGAATCTTCAGTACAGGTGTTATATGTTCAACCATATTTTGGATACATGTTTGCAAACAGAGATTGTCGAGCACAGGAGGTCCTCGAAGTCAAGCAGTGATAGCCAACGACAGTTGATGGTGGTTGAGGGCGGTGATAGACGGTTGCTAACCGACGGTGTTTGGAAGTGATCAACAGCTACGATGGTCAGGAGATTTTGTCGAGTCTTCAATCTAGAAGTTGCTTTAGAGATCCTCTTCTTCTTCCCTCCCCCTAGCAAAATGCGGAGGTCTATTTATAGCTTTTGGGGGAGAGTCGTTTTGGTTTTCCGGTGAGTAAATTCCTCCATGATTTGATCTGATGACCTATATTGATCCCTCTTGATCATATGATTTTTTTTTAAATATTGGTGCCTTTTTTACCTAAGAATTCAACAAGCTTAAGCTCATTGGATTCCTCTCTTCGAGACATTCAATCTGAATATAAATATGTAAAATTTGGAATCCATATGACTATTCAATTGATGATTGAAAACTTATAATTATGCTTCAGTGGTTTGATTTTGGCTTGATTGGACCCAAATCAAACAAATTTTGACATCATTGGATTTAACTTGTCGAGACGATCAATTTGTGTATAAACTTACTGACATGAGCGCCATGGTGATCTTGAATTTGAATTTAGAATACTTATTGCTAAAAAATTCATCGAGATTCATGTTAGATGATAGTACTTTATTGGCGACGCATCACTTGCCCTTATTTTGGAAAATTTATGTTTGTATTATCAAAAAATATAAGTCACTGTGAAATTATCCATCAACTTTTTTTATACCCCAACTTGTGCATTGAATTGAAATAAAAAAAAAAAATCATTGATATTGATGCTTCATGGAACTTTGAGAATGGTAAAATTGAATATAAAATGCTGAAAAATGGCAAAGTAAACATTTCTGAAAAATACTTGATTATATGGTTTTTGATACTATCGGCTTTCGTTGTATACATTTGGGCATGTATGCATGTATATATGGGAGCACGTGTATGTCCATTTGAGCAAAATGAATAAATTTATGTGTTTAAGGATGTGATGGGGGTACATAGGCAGGTATAAATGCAATCAGGAATGTTTCCTGTGAGGTTATGAGGAGAGATTAAGTGTAAATGTATGAGGAATATCTACAAAAAGCATGTATTGAATGGAGATGATCACAGCGTATTAGAAAAACCGATTAGTTGGGGCTTGAATTTCTATACTTCTTGTATTATTTCTTTTTTTTTACATGTCATAAAAATTTTCGTGCGTTCTTCTCTTATGCATCATAGTTAATTTGATTTTTATACTCCTATGATGTTATTTATCATTTGGATTCCATCCCTGGACACCTTTTCTATGCTTAGATTTCTAATGTTTATGTATTGACTTTTTGGTATTAATTTACTTTTAATTTGGATCGATAGAAATTTGAAAATCCCTTGTGATCTAAGGCTTATAACCATTGTCTAGAAAAATAAGTAGGCTAACACACAATAGCTTGATGGAATAAATATATTGCCTGTATCCAAAATAAAAAACTAGAGGATTCTTGAGAACTACTGCATGGCTAAGTCCCATTAACTGTAATATGATTTCCAACACTTCTTATGACCTAAACATTTACTAAAGAGGACATGTCTCTGGTTGTTAACAATAACATTGGTTTTATAGAAAGAGATCAAAAAATCACCAGATCGGTGTCACAGGAGCATGATCCTTTCAACCCTAAAAAACTTTAACAAAATCTAGTTTAGTTCTTTTTCATGTAATAGGATTTTAAAACTTTTCGTATGTGCAAACAAAACCTCCAAACAAGGCTTAGAGGGTTAGTAAACTAGAATTTCCCTTATTAAAATATTTTGATAACTTTTCACATGAGATCAATACATGGACTAAAGAGGACATGTCTGTTGTTAACAATAACATGGGTTTTATAGAAAGAGATTAAAATATCACTTGACCAGTGTCACAGGAGCACGATCCTTTCAGCCCCAAAAAGCTTTAACAAAATCTAGTTTAGTTTTTTTTCCTGTAATAGGATTTTATAACTTTTCATGTCTACAAAAAAAACCTCCAAACTAGGCTTAGAGGGCTAGTAAACTAGAATTTCCCTTATTAGAAATATTTTGATAACTTTTCCCATGAGATCAATACATAGACTCATAATTTATATGTTTCTTTATCAATATGTATACTCATGTGATTAACTGACTTGTCTCATAGCATATTTTTGCCATCAATGAGAAGTTCTTGTATTGCTATTGTTAGTCGTCAAACAAGTATAGATTTCCTTATACGGAACTTCATTTCTCAAAAACGACGCTAAGCTATTACTTAGCAAAAAATTCATGGTGGTAGAGTACTATTTTAACATCTTAGCATTCTACAAAGATCTAACAAGCACATAAATAAATAAAAAGGAGGAGGAGATACCAAAATTTTTACGTGAAAAAATCTTGGAAATGAAAAAAAAATCACATGACCTAGCTCAATCAAACTAATCCACTATCAAATTGTAAGTATATATGTCTAATCTTCTTTTATATTAGAGAAGATAGAATAATAAAACTAATTATCACATATATAAAAAAATATTTTAGCTATAAAAATCATAATTAGGCTACAAAAATGTGATTATTGGTTGTAACAAAATAATTAGCAATAAAGGTCGTGGTTGGTTGCTACAAATGCAGTAGTTTGTCATAAAAACTGTCGATGTGAGTGCAATAGTGATTGTTGGGAGGTTGTAATTAATGATTGTAACAATAGTAGTTGGCCAAAAAGATCATAATTAGTTACTACACATGCAATAGTTGGCCACAAAGGTTATGGTTGAATGTTGTAATAGCATAAATTGGCTCTAGATGTCATAGTTGGTAACTGTGATAACATTAGTTAGTCACAAAAATCGTAGTTGGTGACTAAACTCCTTCTCTCAGAGAGAATGAGGTTATAATTTTATACTAAACACTTCACTTATTTGTATATAACATAAAAGAGTACAAGTTTTGGGAACAAACATTGTATTTTTGCTATGATTGTCATAAGCAATGGTCACCATAGGCCTGAGATGGGTGGCAACAAGCATCATATTGATCATTCAATTGATGATTAAAAACCTCCAGTTTAGTTTCTATGGTTTGATTTGGATTTGATAGACTTGAACTGATTAAAAATTCATGTATGGCTTGCTTAAACTTTTTCTTGTTGATATTTGATTTATATTTGATTTATTTATATTACTTGAACTGATTAAAAATTCAAATCAGCATTTAATTTTCATTCAAAATTTTTAAATTTTGAACTTAATTTTTTTTATGTAAAACTAATAGGCAAGCTGAAAAATTCAATAAGTATTTTATTTCTTGTATACCTTAAGATATTAACAAATAAATTTATAAATCTAAACACATAAACAATTAAATGTTTTGAGTGGTTGGCATATTTTTAAAATATAATGTTTAAACCCTAAACTATTCAAATATAATATTTAACGTTTAAGTGGTTAAAATATTATATTGAATATTTTGGATAATTATCATGTAAAAACCTCTTAAAGATTTGATTGTGTAAATATAAAAATTTTGACATTAGACATGTAAATGCATACAAAAGAATGCCCCAATCTTATAATGATCGTGTAAATGATGTACGATACCTTATAAATTAAAAAGCTATAGAGAGACGCGTGCCCCCAAAGTTTGTGTTGGGGCTTCTTACTTGTAACATTATAATTTGGAGAAATTACCGAAATACATCATGACCGCACCTGATATACGATCAGAATCAAACACCGCGTGCAAAACAGAAATAAATGTGCGGTCCGCATGCAATCATTTTTCTATAATTTGAAGGTCATGTCTTGGCAACAATCCAATGAAAACCGCAGCAGACGCGTTAAAATATGGTACATATTTAAATCTGCAAACTTGATTTGTTCAAAAGCCAGTTTTTGAATGGAAGCCGCAACCTGCAGCAAATAAATTAAAGCGAAATACTTCCGTTACTTCAACCCAGCCCCCCTATAAATCCTTTCCTCTCCTCGCTAACGCCTTCATCCTTCCACAGAAACCAAACATGGCCGCTCCTCCATCAAAGCTTGCCGTTTTAACCTCCTTCCTCATCGCCCTCATCCTGCTGCCTCCGCTGTCATCCGGCCAAGAAGTTGGTAAGCGGTCTCTCTCTTTTGCTTTTCCATTAGAAATACTCTTTTCAAATGATACTGCGCAGAGCTTTTGAAATGACATCATCGTTTTGTTAAACCTTTTTACAGAGGATGAGAAGGAGTTTAGCTACGATGTGGGGAGCGAGAACGGGCCGGAGAAATGGGGGCGAATTCATGAAGAGTGGGCGGCTTGCGGTGTCGGAAAGCTTCAGTCGCCCATTGACCTGAAAAACGAGCGGGTCCAGGTGGTGGATGGGCTTGGCGATCTCTGGCGAACTTACCGTCCAGCGCCGGCTGTCTTGAAGAACCGAGGGCATGATATCATGGTAAGATTTTACAGATTTCGATCTAATTTATGAGTAAATTCGGATTCTCCGATTGCTTTTGTGTGGTTTTGGGGGCAATCAATTTAGTGAATATTGATGTGTGTGTGATGCAGTTGAAATGGGAGGGGGAAGCGGGGGGTTTGTGGATCAACGGCACCGAGTACAAGCTTAAGCAACTCCATTGGCATTCTTCTTCCGAGCACACCGTCGATCAACGCAGGTAAGAATCATTTTCTCCGTTCTGTTGAATATTGTGGAAGATGTGGTTTTGGTGATTAGATCATCTTTTTTAGAGCAGTAGTGGGAAAGTTTAATTGTAGGTGATCCGATTGAATTTAATAATGTTAATATTATTATTAGTCGCATTGAGTTTTCCACAACACATTGTGAAAGAGATGACTTTTTTCTTACATGAAAATGTCAAAATGGCATCTAAAGGAAACCCATTTACAAGGATACAAGTAATAACAATAATATGAAGGCATCTTTTTCAAGCTAGAAAATTCTCATTTGTGAAAAAGCTTAAGTTTCCAGCACACAGAGAGAAATAGAATAGACAATTAGATTTTTTATGTTGAATAAGACTGGAAAGTGAAAACAGGGGGCATGACCAATCAAAATAATAAAATAGGAAATTGAAAGTATAGAGGTCAACTATTTTGTTGAATAGGGGAAGATAGGATTACAAAAATCGGCAATCACTACTTTATAATAATAATTTGGCTACAACAACCATAGTTGGGCTACATTAATTGTAGTCGGTGGCTATAACATTTATGGTTGGCTATATAAGCTGTAGTTGTGGCTACAACTGTCATAGTTTGGCTGCAGCAATTATAATTGCTGGTAATAATCATTGATGGTGATCAACAACGGTTGGTAGCCATTCACCTACACTTTTCTTCATGAGTTATGCATTTGTTGTTAGCTCACTCTTCTTCTCTCTTCCTCTTTCATTTGAAGAATGAGGACTCTTTATAATTTTGAGATCGGTGTTTTGATAATATTAGATAAAATCTTAAAACACTATATCGGACAGTTCACATAGATTCCTTTAATCACATTTCATTTTCTCAGCATTTAAGTGCCTTGATGGCTCTAAAATTAAATGATCTTGGACTCATTGGATTCCTCCAGTCAAGCCGCTTGATTGGATTAGAAGCATGCCAAATTTAAGGATTATTTGATCTTTCATATAACGCATCAAATTTCTGATTAGTCTTTAAGTACTTGATCTGAACTTATGTGGACTTGGATTTAATCACCTTAAGTGTTATTGAGCTTGTGTTGTTGAGATGATCAGTTTAACTATAAATTTGTTGAAATCATAAGTGATCTTGAATTTGAATCTTGAAGAGTTCTTACTTAAAATACATCGAGATTCAAGCCTCATCATGTAAATTTCTTGGTGATATATTAGTATCCCTAAATCATCTGGGACTAAATACTTGTTCATATGGGTTTTGGTATGCTTAAGTTTGTTACGTGAGACAACTTTGTTCTAGTTTTGGTGACCAACGATGTGTATAATTTTTCCTGGAAATCAATGTGATCAGCCCTCTTTTGGGGTTTTCTGTAGTACCTCATTCATCACCATGAGTCATCTTCTTAAAAGATAATCAATTGATGTTTGTTTCCAATGTGGCGACAAAGCTAGATTAAGGTATTTAGGCCTATCATTGTGGTGATTTCCTTAGTTTTTCGAATTTGGCCTCTCTTTTCTTCTTCAAGTCAAAGACCGCGTCTTTTGAAGCAATCGCCTGTAGGTGGGCAACTTGTTGACAATTGCTCCAACACAATTTAGGGGACTTTTTCAACCGCTAGTTTACTTGACTTTATCCTTCCTGTAATATTCAAAAGAAATAATAAAAAAATATATTTTTTTGAAGAATTATTTAATAAAATAATTGTTCTAAACGTTATTTTTTGTCAGCTCCTCTTGATATTGCCGCCCGTTTACATTCCTAGCGTGATATAGCTGTAGTAAAAAAACGTTTTATTCTTTAGTCTCCCCAAAAGATACTGATCAAATATTGCAGAAGATTCTATTGAATTCTTTAACTCTTCTAGGTTTTATTACAAACAGAGAACCCATGGAAGCCTCATAGATCTCAAGATCCTTAGAAAATGTACCCTGCATCACAATATACAGATGTTCCATCATGTGTTATAATCCAAATAATGCCAGTACCTACAATCTTATACACATTATTATTTTCTATGTACATGAATCCATGGCATGGTTTATAGCTGTAAAACAATTATGTATAACGAGTCATACAATGATCCTCTGGCCTGCATTCACAAAAAGAAACTCACTATAATCCAAATCAATTGTGTCTGCATCTGTTGTCTTGTCCCTCTTGATACTCGCCATTTGTTTGCTTCTTCTTTGTTCTCAATACCTGATAACCTCTGTTGAAGTGGCTTTGGCTAATGATAGACGAAATCTAATCCCTGCCACATAATTGCCTTAAGAGGTTGATATTTGCTGCATCAATCTCACTTTAATGAACAATTCCTCGACGCATTTTCCTTCATCAATGCTTGTTAGGGGGGTTATTGACGAAGGGGGCACAAACTCTAATAATATGCCGCCACATGGAGGTTATTGTGGGGTTATTGACGAGAAACCGTGGATGTTATTAGGGAGTTATTGTGGGGTTATTGGGAGTTATTGTGGAGGTTAATGCAAGGGTTATTGAAATGGAACTGTGGAGGTTATTGGAGTAGAACCGCGGAGGTTATCGTGGGGTTATTGAGGGTTTATTGTAGCGTTATTGGAGTTAATGCCCCAATAACCCCTCAATAACCTCACAATAACCCCTTTAAATAACCTTCGTGATTCCACTCCAGTAACCCCCGCGGTTTCCTTTTAATTTTTTTTATGTAAGCCCGATATAACACATAGCGATATATTACTGGAGTCTGCACTTAGAGCTACTCATGTACTCCGTATGGAATATTTTCTCTGCATTTACATATCTTACACCTAAACGTTAAGCCAAACAAACACACTATTTTATGCTTAGGTTATAAATGTAAATATCAAACCTTTAAGTGTTAGATATGTAAATCCATAAGAATTTTTGTGGTGCTCTTACATAAATTTTTCCTTTTTTTGATTAAATGGACGTATCAAGCTTATTATTTTTTTATTTTATTGAAAGGAAAGGGTTTTAAGTTTATAACAATGATTCTTCATTTTTCTATGATTCGGCGGTTCTGCAAAACCGTAGTATTATTTCTCATATCCCTTCCGGGGAACATAAATTTTATGTAACAGAGCATACTTTTTAAGTCTTAATTTGTAAATATCAATGTTTCGGGTGGTTGTATGTAATTATCTGTTTTTAAGTTCATATTGTATCGTGATAAATTAATGTAGGTATCAGCTGGAGCTGCACATGGTCCACGAGAGCGCCGATAAAAAGCTCGCCGTGGTGGGCATCTTGTACAAGCTGGGCCGTCCCGATCTTTTCTTGGCTCAGGTTTTTATGAATATCACGCACAATAAATCTAATCCTGAAAACCTTTTCCTTGCTCAAATGTATCAGGAATGTAATAAGAAACTATAACGAAATAACAATTTAATAAGCTTGTTAACAAAAATCATGCACGAGAGTATTTAATGGATGGATCTGTCTTTGTACTGACAATTAATTTGTTTTGGACAAAGCTGGGGAATTACATTAAAAAATTGACGGATGTGGATGAGGCTGCGGAAGAGAAGGTGGGTTTGGTGGATCCATGGAACGTGAAGTGGGGCAGCAGGAAGTATTACAGGTACATGGGCTCCCTTACAACTCCACCTTGCACCGAAGGCGTTCTATGGACAATTATTAATAAGGTTTGTAATATATATTATTCATACCTCTCTCTCTCTCTCTCTCTCTCTCTCTCTCTCTCTCTCTCCGACGTAATATGCTATAAGATCTATTTTTTTGATTAAATGTGAATAATAATATGTCTTTTATCATTTTTTAAAAAAGTATTATAATAGCTTAAAATCTCTATAATGAACTTTACTTATTAAAAATGATTGTTTTTTTTTTTATGTAATGCATAGATAAATGGATTATAATGTCTGTTTCTGGAGAAACTTTTACATACAGAGTACGTACGCTGCTCTATGTGCGGACTCTAGTAATATGCTGTCATGTGTGTTTATTGGGTATACCTAAAAAATATTAAAGCGGAACTGCGGATGTTATTAGAGTGGAATCGCGAAAATTATTGGAGTAGAACCGCGGATGTTATTGGGAGGGTTATTGGGGCATTAACTCTAATAACGTTGCAATAACTCATCAATGACCTCTAATAACCTTCATGGTTCCACTTCAATAAACCCTGCAATAACCCCCAATAATCTTCTCGGTTCTACTTCAATAACCACTGACAATAACCCCAGTAATAACTCCCAGATAACTTTCCAAGAACCTCCGTGGTTCCACTTTAATAACCCCTCGCATTAACCCCTCTGCGGTTTCACTTAAGTAACCCCACAATAACCTCCAAGTGACGACATGTTACTGAAAGCCCGAACTCCATATGGAAAATTTTCAAACTAGCAAGGTATTATTTAAGCATGTAGAGATATATTATGTATGTAACTATATTGTATTTAATAAATTATTGCTTTGTTTGAATAAAAAAATATAATTTTGATATGACAAACTGTCTACTAACAAATGTTGATTATTCTGCGTAACATGAGATTCTTTGACTAACTAGATAATAATATTATCTGAGTTTCTATAAGCAAACCTTCTGCTTACTAAGTAATTGCTAGTGCTTAGGTTAAGTTGTTTTTTCTCATCCGTCTTGTAATGCTTGGTTTAGGGTTTAATGAGTTAAAACAAATTCCTTCAGATGAATTTTTTGGTCAGTTTAGGAATTTAAATGATTCTACATCTGATCCATTCAGCTATTTTTGGCATGCAGGTCCGAACGGTTTCAAAAGAGCAGGTGAAATTACTGCGGGAGGCAGTTCATGACGTAAGTATAGAACAACATAATTTATCTTAATTAACCATTAACCAAATTATATATATATATATATATGTTAGATACGCAAATACATAAAAATTAATGAAGGGATGTATGTAAATCTTTCATATATATGTTAAATATCACAAAAGGACCTGAGTGTCTTCTTAATTGTTATTGAGTTGCGGCTAATCGTAAAACTAAAGTATACGAAAGAAATCAAGTTCTCTTATAGTAATATTTAATTGCATGTGAATGAGGAAAAAATTATTGTATCAAGTTTTTATCAGGTGTCTAATTAAAATTGATTATGTGTAAGGATGAGTTCCAAGTTTTTAAAAAACAACCAACCATTGTATTTCAGTAGATCCCACGTTTTGATGTGACCAATTTTAATTGGACACCTAATGCATATTTGCATGCATATTTGCATCAGATGTCTTGATCTTGATGCAATAATTTCTCGTGAATGAGAAACTTGTTTTGTTTTGTTTGCATCATCATGACGTCATAAGCTGATGAACTTCATAATTAAAAAAGATTTAATTAATATTTATGCAACTAATATTTCTTTATTTATTTATTTTTGTTTTTTAACGGGCTGAGGTCAAGCAAAAAAACACCATTCTATAGAGTTTAAATAAAATTAGGATAGGCAATGGTTGATTTCGGGCATAATTTTGACTAAACATTTAGCCTATTTGTAAGTTTTGTTAAATAATTTGTTGCATGACTTGCAGGAATTTGAAGATAATGCTAGACCAACACAGCCAACAAACGGAAGGGATGTTTTTATGTACCGTCCTAAGATTCATTTGCATTAATTGTTTAGGTTTTTGGCTCTTCATGTTTTAAATTATTGTGAGTTTGCTAGAAATAAAGTTAATAATTTCAAAATATTGTGCATTTATGTGTGAGTGGTTGAGGGTGTGTTTCCCACTGATGTTGCTGATTTGAATCGTTTATATTATCTTTTAGGTTCACTTGTCCCGAAAAATAAATAAATAAATATATAAATTGAGAGATTACTCTCCTGAAATATTGTGATGGATTGGAAAGAGCTCATTTTAACGCCCACGTGATGAAAAAAATATTACATCAGGATTCTTGATGCAAAAATGCATCAGGAAAATTATTTAGTTATTTTTTACTAAGGGGGCCCGGACTGTACACGTGACAAACAGTGATTGGAGTTCTGATACAAATATAATATTTTCTTCATGTGATAAGTCAGCTTCGAACCAACTTTTTCAAATTGAATTTTAATATTAAATTTTTGTAGGTAATTTTCTTTTTAAGGAATTGATAGATTAAATTTCGATCGATATATAAGCATTTTAAGAAAAATATTTGCTCTTTCTTTTTTTTTTTTTTTTTTTGGCTAGAATAACTTTTCATAAAGAAATTGATAAAAAAGAAAAATATTGGGTGTGTTTTTATTATGAATTTTAATATTTGAGTGAGAATAGAGTAGTAAACGAGTCGAGTTCAAGTCACCCTCAACTGGAGCTTGAGTTTAATTAATAATTGAGTTCGAGCCCAAGCTCTAACTTAATTCTATGAATTCGAGTCAGCTCATGAGTCGGCTTGTTTAATAAGTAAGAAAAAAATATTAATTTAAGTAATTTTTAGAATTGAATGACAAATAGAATGACCATTTAGAAGATAATTAATATGAAATAATTTGATATAGAATGCAAAGCATCTTTTTTTAAGTTTTTTTAATAATTTAAACAAAAATTCTTGAACTTCAATATATTTGAAGTAGACTTTTTATTTTTTATTTTTAAACGAACTGACTCACGAGCTAATGAGTTCAAGTCAGTATGGTCTTGTGCATGGCTTCTTAGCTCATTAAGCCCGGTTCACGAACCACTTATTGCGCAGAACTTCATGTGAAAATCGCGAAGAAATTTTGTAACAACTTAGTTCTCAAAAATCTTTGAAAGGAGCGTAATTTTTGTAAAAAAAAAAAAAAAAAAAAAAAAAAAAAAAAAAAAACCCTGTCGCCATTGAGCCACCATATTTATCCGTAAACATTAACATTTATGAAGTATTTTGGTGGATATATACTAGAAATTCTTTGTGTTGCCCTTCTCTTCAATGTACCGATACTTTCATGCTATTTACAATTATTTTTACAAATCTATCCTCAGGATGGTTTGCAAGAGATCCTGTGACCACAAGCAAAGTCGGCCATACTTTACTGCAATTGCCCGGTGAAGTAAATGTAGAACCAACTCGCTTTATTATCGCTAATGACTGTTTCAAGTATCTTGGACTACTTGGTGAAAAAATTTCTCATATTGTCGTCGAGTTTGTCCGGGCCACTTTTGGAAGTTAGTGCATGTAATTTTACAGTTTTGTTTTTTCACTTATAACTACATGGCTATAAAGATTTATAATCAATTAAAAGTATTAATGAAGAAAATAGAATAAAAATTATTAAATTAGATTCAAATGATGTTTTAAATCTTGCCCAAATCCTTAACATCTTATGGCTACGTGATTAGGGTTGTTAAAACGACTCTTTGTTCATGAACAGCTCGTGATCGGCTCACTAAGCAAACGAGCTGAACACAAACTCACTTTTGAGCTCGAAA